TGCGCTCCTTGTCATCAACAAGGAGCAGATCGGGCCTGTTTGCTGATAGTTTCAGGTCAGTTGGGACCGAATACTCCCAATAGAGGCGATACTGATTACTCTTGACCAATGCCTTGAGCTGGTGGTCGAATCGTGAAGCACCAGTAGGTAGATCTCGTGCTTTACACATTTCGAAGTGCACATACTTTACTATCCGGTTATGTCGTTCAATGTAACTGGTCCGAGCAAGAACTGGGCAGGCACTGACAATGTGGTCAATTGTTTCTAAGCTGCCCTTGCAAAGCCTGCAATTGGCATCAGTTCGAGGAATTGACTTCATTATGGCGTATTGGTAATTTTTCGTTTTGAGGGATTGGTCTTGTGCTGCCATAATCATGCCTTCAGTTGAAGGTTTCAGTGTCCTTGATTTCAACCACATGAAGGTAAGCTCCTTATCTAGGCGATTCTCCTCCAATCGGCTCCAATATCTCCCATGCAGCGGCATAGTGGAAAGTGTTTTGGATTTTCGCTCAGCGCACGCTTGTTTAATGGTATGCTTATTGGGTAAAGCTGGTCCAGCTGCTGGCAGATCCAAACTCGACAGGAACTTAGCGGCCTTTGCAGTTATTGAGTGGCTTTTTGTTGTAGGTTTTTGTTGATGATACTGATAAAGCAGGCTTATTCTGTCTATTGGGCTGGTACTCATGTAGCGGGCCAGGCCACACATGCTCCGGCCGTGCATATCCTCACAAGAGACCAAGCCCCGGCCTCCATCTCCCCTCTTCATGTAGAGCCTGTTGACTGAGGCTTTGGGGTGGTGAAATCCAGACGCAGTCAAGGCTGATCTTGTCACTCGATCTGTGGTCTTGATTTCAGCCTCGGTCCAATTTACGATTCCATAACTATATGTCATAACCGGCAGAGCATACGTATTGATGGCCTTGATCATGTTTCGCGCATTCAATCCACTGTTAAGAAGCAAATACAATCTCTTTTTGTATTCTGCAGTGAGTTGCGTCTTGAGCTTCGGGTGAGGTATCATGGCTGCTTGCACTACTCCAAGGTACTTGTATGTTTCATTGAGTCGTAGCGACTCTGCAATGGTCTCATCGCCAACCTGGATAGAGCATCCTTCATCTGGTTTTCCTCTCCTGACGTGCAGCACGGCACACTTGGCCGGGTTGAGATTCATGCCGATGTCATCACCAACGCCACACACGGTAGACACGAGGGTAGTCACATCCTTTGTAGTTTTCCCATAGAGTTTAATGTCGTCCATGTACCAAGAGTGATTGATAGACAACTCGGCGTCTCTGCAGCTGACTCTGTATCCCCTATTATTATTATTATTATTATTATTATTTGAACAAACGGCGAGGAGACAACAATTTGATAACCGCAATCAGTAATACAAGCTGGATCGACATTTGTGTACACTTTATTCATGTAATGTTAAACTTGTTTGAATTCTCATTTTCTCTACACCATTTCTTCACATTTTCATCGTTTTATTGCACATTGTCTCCACAGTTTTACATTACATGAATAAAGTGTACACAAATGTCGATCCAGCTTGTATTACTGATTGCAGTTATCAAATTATTATTGTTATTATTATTTGGAAAGGATTGGGAGAACTTCAAATTCAAAGTATCAGTCGGGGAAGTGAACTGCCTGAAAAGAGAAAAAAACGCCAGACAACCAGGACTCGAACCTGGGACCCTGCTTGTCATGAGCAATGCTCTAACCACTGAGCTATGGGACCAGGCTGAACCTAGAAGGCGCTGACAAGGTTTTCACTCCAAAGGCAGCTCACAACACGTGCCACACATACTGATGGCACTTGGGTCTTTTTCCCTCCCCCAGGGGACCAACCACGGTCAGTTTCTGGAAACTACCAGAGGTGAAAGAAAGTGATTAAATTTGGAGAATTTGTAGTTCTCCCAATCCTTTCCAAATTTAATCACTTTCTTTCACCTCTGGTAGTTTCCAGAAACTGACCGTGGTTGGTCCCCTGGGGGAGGGAAAAAGACCCAAGTGCCATCAGTATGTGTGGCACGTGTTGTGAGCTGCCTTTGGAGTGAAAAACTTGTCAGCGCCTTCTAGGTTCAGCCTGGTCCCATAGCTCAGTGGTTAGAGCATTGCTCATGACAAGCAGGGTCCCAGGTTCGAGTCCTGGTTGTCTGGCGTTTTTTTCTCTTTTCAGGCAGTTCACTTCCCCGACTGATACTTTGAATTTGAAGTTATTATTATTATACGCATTTCCGCGTTGAAGTGAAGCAGCAGTATGCTGCGTCCACAGCTTCGCTTATGCAGAATGGCTTGGGTAAGAGGAGAGGGGAGAGAAAGCAACAAGGCAACCAACATCTATGAATTGAAGTAGGTCACAATAACATGAAGAGACCCAACCTACATGTACATATGCATGATTGCACAAGAATGAAGACGACAAAATTAATGGCTATAATCATTGTGCCACAAAACTCGTACTCAGGAAATCTGTCGACAATGTAACGAAACATTAAACTCAGTTACTCAATACAGGTTCCACTAAATTACAAGAGAACAACGCTCCAATATTAGAATTGCCGCTAAATTATCGAAAGTGTAGAGAATGAGTCCAATACAAATGAAAACCATGAACAGACTGTCCCGAAGTTATTTTGGGAACAAATTGTACTACATGTACTTGCTGAAGGAAATATGCCCGTGGTAAAATGACATGTTGAAAACATGGCACAAAGGGAATGCTTTGGATGGTGCTAGGGCCTTGAGGACCCGGTTGGGGATGCCGTCGGGACCGGATGCCTCACCTGTCGGAAGCATCCTCAGATGAGCGGACAGTGGCAGTAAAACCCGTTAATGTGGTGATGACGAACGTGAAACAAGCGGAGGGCTCTGAGGGGGTGAGAATAGGAGGCAAAGAGAGCATCGGGTCATCTGGCCGAGTCACAGAGGCACACTGGGCGTTTCGAATTCTTGCTTGTCTCACTAACTTACTGGTGAATAGGGTCCAGCGGATAATGCCGGCATTATATTCGGCATTATGAGACTATCCGAGCATCAGAGCATTATGGAGCATTAGAAAGGAATAAGACGAGCATTATGACTGTGAGGTTTGAGCGGCACAACGAGTTTCATAGTGGATAATCATTCGGGAAATCTCAGGTTTTTGGCAACAATCGGCTAAAGTCATGAGGTGCAAACACCTTTACTGGCTTTAGCACCAATGCTACATTTACCTGACTACATGCATGTACATGTATACATGTAATGCCGTTGCTACATAAAGTCTTTATGTAGCAACGTAGTCAGGTGATGTAGTATGCACAGCATTGCGACTGAGGCTGTTACACAACATCCGTAACGATGATTTACGAGAAGTTCTTTTTTAGAAATCATGGAGGGCCGTGGAGGAGACTAGACGTACGCGAAATGAGTATCAAACAGACGAAGAGCAGTTTTCCTGTTATGCCATAGGCTCTGGCCATAGCATCTCTAGCGATACTGAAGTAAACACTGATCCATTGATAAATTTGGACCTGGATGAAGGAGCGGCTATAAACAGAAAGAGCTTGTTCCAAATAATTGCCTTTGCCGAGTCCAGCTCAGCAGGCTCGAAAAGAACTAGATTTTTCCATGGACGCAGTACCAAGTCGATTTGAGTGCTCAGGAGCGCGTGTCTTACTTTCCTGGTGAAGCACGTCCCGTTCGTCATGGACGATTGTAATGCAAGGTACAGTCAAGTGCCATCAGAAAAGAAGTGTATTGTGGCCAACCATTTGTCTCCACGCAACCTCAGGAGAAGAAGACAGCAAGCGGCAAGCAGAGGACGTAGAGCGGCAAAATAACTTCTGACCACATGTTTTCAGGATTTCCGGAAATGGGAGGGATTTCGATCTGAGATCGTCTCTCAGGAACTGGCCTCACGTGAGCTGTTTCGGATGAATAATTTTTTCACAGAGTGGAAGCAGTGACAGCTTGTCTGCAGGCAAGAATACCACTTCCCATGATAAGCTTCCAGCATCCAAATGATCACCAGCAATAATGGTTTCACCTCTCGCTACATGGATAAGCAAGGGAAAAGATTTGATTCACCCACTATCCAGCCACAGCCCTGCATCAAAGTTGCAATGGAGAGCAGCCAATGGAGACACGATCATGTCTTATAGTGCTAAGAAGTGGTGGAGCTCGTGAGAGATATTGTTGCAGCTTCAGAGGCAGATCGACTAAATGCATCCTTTCCTGGAAATTTGACAATGAGCAGCCTCTCTTCCATTTTTGTTCCAAACCAAGAGCATTGTAGCCCTTGTTGAAGCATTATAATTAGCATTACAAGGTAGGTTTTGGAGCATTATCCGCTGGACCCTACTGCCGTACTGGTGAAGCGATGGACGGTGTTTACCCTGCAAAGTAGTTAATGAAAAAATGGGTGCGATTTCAGCAACTTGCTCTTATCTCGGCACTGTTGTGAAAAGCATAAAATTAATTGGAAAAACAATGGCATCTTTGGGGAAGGGCTACTCATGAGAGCGACAAGCAACTCCAGGACGTCGCTAGTGTTGGTTGGGGTACGCAGGAACTGGGTGCCAGTACTAGAACTAGAGTCTAGAATAGAGTTGTAGCTGCGAGCTAGCTGCTGTCGCCTGGCATGGTCACCTGCAGCCTGCAGGCTGCAGGCCTGTCGCCAGTGTCGGAAAAGTACCCACACGCGCGAACGCACACGCTCGATGGCGCGGCATCACTCTTCTTCTGCGAAGCGATGCATGAGCGATCGACTGCATGACGTAACAATGACTGCCACGACGTCGCATGTGCAGTTGTGCAGTGCCAGACTGGCAGACTGCCGCTCTGAGTCTGAGTCTGCCAGTGCCATCATGCCATGCCACTAGCTGGCAGTGGACCAGTCATCGTGCAGAGCTCTGTGTCAAGTGTGTGAGTCTGTGACAGTCAGTACAGCCTAGGAATGGCAGGATTATGAATCTAGGATCGGAATGATGCACTCGCTAGCATGCAGCGCTAGCGGCGACGGCAGCTCAGGTACTAGGTCAGGGTTTGGTTTTGCAGTTGCAGTTCAGTTTCTTTTATAGACAGCACAAGTAGAACTGCTTCTGGCAGTAGAAAACATCCTAGTTACTATTACTATTCTTGTGTGCATGATTGTAGTTGCAGCAGCAGGCTGCGCAGAGTATAATCGCTAGCTAACAGTCATCATGGGTTCTTCTTCGTCGGAGCTAGCGCCGGAAACCGTCACAGATCTGGCCAGCAAGACGAGTTTCACGGAAAAGGAGGTGCGCGAGTGGTATCGCGGATTCAGGAAGGACTGTCCGAGCGGCGTGCTGTCGGCCACCGAGTTCAAAGTCATCTACTCGCACTTCTTTCCGTTCGGAGACGCTAACAAGTTCGCCGATCACGTGTTCCGCACCTTTGACCAGAACGAGGACGGCAAGATCGACTTCAAAGAGTTCATCACGGCGCTGTCGATCACGTCGCGCGGCAAGCCCGACGAGAAGCTCACCTGGGCGTTCAACATGTACGATTTGGACGGCAACGGGTTCATCACGGAGGCGGAGATGCTGGAGATCGTGCGCTCCATCTATAGTATGGTGGGACCCAATGCCAAGCTACCGGCCGGAGAGGATTCGCCGGAGCGGCGCACGAAGAAAATTTTCGACGAGATGGACACGAACAGGGACGGCGTGCTGACGCGAGAGGAGTTTCTCGCGGGCGCCCAGTCCGACCCGCAGATCATGAGGCTGCTTCAGGGAGACGCGCGCGTTCTGACCCAGGAAGCCGGAAAGTAGAACTCGTGCCGTGCCATGCATGCCGTTCAAGGACGTCCGGTGCATAGCGGCGCCGCGCCGTGCGACTGTTCTGCAGCACGAGTCGACGCGGCGCGCGGCTAGCGCTCTCGTGAAGCCCATCTTTCCGGTCTGGTACGTACACGTACGGGTACATGACTGTGTAGCGCTAGCGCTAGCGCTAGCGGAGCACATCGCAGGGAATGTCGTGTTCAATTATTTCATTGTTTTTTTTTGGTAGCTAGAGTTGATACGGAACAGTGGAAACGAACCCAGAGCCAGAGCTAGAGGTTCAGTGTTGCAGTTTTATGAAATTTTCAACAATGGCGTGACAGGACATAGTTTCAAAATCCCTTGTACTGGACAAAATTACTTAGGCAACCAACACACCTGCAGTCCGTTATGTAACATGAAAATGTCAGTATCCAGAGTAACACGTTAGCTGTTGTGACTTGTGTATGTCGCTCACTTCCTGCTGGGATGGATTAGCAGAGCTTGTTCTCGTTTTGGTCACAATTGCTGTAGCTGAATGTTGGTCACAATTGCTGTAGATATACGCTGCCATTGCACTCAGCTGATTATAGTTCCAGTGCTAGAGTAAGCTAGATGATGCATGACTGTATGTGGTCTATATATCCCAGAAAGAGGAGCCAGGAGCCCCCAGATTATACAGCTTTGCCCTTGGATAGCTGAAGTCGGTTGTGCCAGCGCGTGCGACATTAAATTCTTTTCTGTAAAAGTAAGAGCACATTGATTTTTACACGATAATATGATAACAATAAACCGGATCACGATCGGATATGCACGTTTGTGGCTGTATTTTCATCCCCGTCTCCAAGCATTTGGAATCGTCCACTTGATTTCTTGGTGGCTGCAAGCACGAGCACGGGATGTGCTTTTCGGCAGGTGGCATGGATGTGTTGCAAATAGGCCGTGCATACTGCGCCGCTGCGTATTCTCAGTATGCAGAGAGTTAAGTTACGAATGGTAATCTCCATAGCATAGGACTAGCGGCAGGTGACATTGATGTTGCCAGTACGCCGCACGCACTGTCAGTATTCTCACTTTTTCAGTGTGCAGAATTGTGATTGGCAATCTATCTGGTGTATGGTATTTACGTACCATGACTGTATTAAAGCTAGTTCCCAGTTGAGATCAGAGAGGGATTTTCATGACTGTCGAGACCCACAGCAGGGATTTTGTCTGTTGGAGTTCCTGGCAAGTGGCAGTACTTTTCCAAGAGAACAGTGACGACTCGTTTTTGTCGCTGCGTTTCATGCACACAGCAAGGCTGAGGCAATCCTCAGACAATGAACACTGTAGATTGAAATGCCAGTCATTGGACCTGGATTGTACATGTACATATTATACATATACATGTATATGTACATGTACATGTATATGTACATGTACATATACATGTATATGTACATGTATATGTATAATTATGTACATGTACATGTATATGTATTATGTACATGTAGTATTGTACGTACCTCGCGACTGTATTCTACAAATATCTGCAGTTCCCAAATAGGCTATTGGTGTTTAAAAGAAAGAAATTGAAGAGGTGAAGAGCCCAGCGTCAGAGAGCATCCGCCCAGCAACACGTGTACTGGCGAATAGCAGTACTTAGTAAGCACGGTAACATGAGTTACCCTGGTCAAGGGATCCCTTGGAGCTCCGAAGAGGGTACATTGTATTCTACTTTTCTGTCGAGGAAATCAATAGTCACAAGGGCTGCTGAGTACTAGTACATGCACATTGTATCAAGAGTACGTACTATGTACTCTTGATTGTACGTGCAATGCAAAAAAGAATCAGTGGAAACTGCATCAAGTCAAGTACATGTACATGACTGTAGCTACATGGTATAACAAGTATTTGATCAACCTTGTTATAATAATAATAATAATCCTTTCATAAATTTATCACTCTCTTTCACTTCTGGTAGGGTCCAGAAACTGACCGTGGTTGGTCCCCTGGGGGAGGGAGAAAGACCCAAGTGCCATCAGTATGTGTGGCACGTGTTGTGAGCTGCCTTTGGAGTGAAAGGCTTGTCAGCGCCTTCTAGGTTCAGCCCAGTCCCATAGCTCAGTGGTTAGAGCATTGCTCATGACAAGCAAGGTCCCGGGTTCGAGTCCTGGTGGGTCTGGCGATTTTTTCTCTTTTCAGGCAGTTCACTTCCCCTACTGTTCCTTTGAATTTGAAGTTCTCCCAATCCTTTCATAAATAATAATAATAATAATAATAACACATTTCGCGTAGTAGAGCACTAAATAAAGAAATTCAGTGTTTTTTCCGCTTCTGTCTTGTGAGCATCATCAGCTAGGTGTAGTAGCTGCTGATACTGATTTCTCCTCGGGTGTCGAGCTGCACAGTTTCTTCCAGTCTGTCTTGTCTGCTGCTTGTTGTCCGCACCTGGAAAGGTCTTCCATTGTCTTCATTGGCACACCCAGCGTATTCAGCTAAGCGATCAGACTTGTGGCCAGTGTCAACCTTGGCCGTCCACGAGGTGCTTTGTTGCCCTTGTCAAAATAGCCACCCATGGCTACTTGCGGTGGCGTGTCCGTGTCCATCCGTAGCACATGACCAGTCATTCGTAGTCGCCTACATGCAACTGTGTCTGATGTAGGGTTGCTCTTGGTTCTGCGGTTTAGGTCGTCGTTTGAGATTGTGTCTGGGTATCGTATTCCAAGTAGTCATCGCATTTGACGCCGGTGGAATGCGTCTGCCTTGGCCATTGCTGTTGACGATAATCCCCAAGTCTCGCAATTGTACAGGAATGTCGGCAGTACGATAGCGTTGTTATAGTTCACGCATATTGTTAGATTGACAGCATGAAACAAGGTCATGGGCAGAAGTAATAGTTGGACGAAAAGAAGTTGAGGTTTAAGTAGCTACATGACTACCAGGACGACATCCAGGAGCGATCAAAGAATACACGACGGACGTCAGGAATAGTCTCCTACCACCCTAGCATCATGAGGGTCAGAACCGGGTGCGACACCCATATGGTTCAAATGGTCCGCAGGGACCGGGTCTCTGTCTCTGGCAACCGCGGAAGGTTGTGTTAGACCCACAAGTAAATACAGTATACATGTGTTAATTCATATAATTCATTAGTTCATGCATTATTCATTTGGCCTGGGTAGCTACTTGCGCGTCCATGTTTGCCATAGCTACCCAGGCCCTTTATATTGCGTTGCCTCTCTTCAATACTCTCTCTTCAACAAGCTCTCTTCAATAATCTCCCTCTTCAATAGTCACCATGTAGTCGTTTCGTTCGTCTGGTCTTAGTCTCTAGTAAATGTCGTTCCACCAACCTACCTGTTCCGTTGTGAGTCTCTTGTCGAACTCAACAACAACAGGTGTAGTAAGGTCACTGTTTCGGAACACAGTGTCCTCTACCTTGTTTCATGCTGTCAAACTAACAACATGTACATATGTACATGTACCCGTACATTGTAATAATTACAAAAATGTTGTTCCTGTTCAAACCTGCACTCTACGGTCCAGAACAGTATGTGTGTGCACTGCAGTGTATGAATGTACTTTTGTTGTTGTTGTTGTTGTTGTTGTTGTTGTTGTTGTTGTTGTTGTTGTTGTTGTTGTTGTTGTTGTTGTTGTTGTTGTTGCTGCTGCTGCTGCTGCTGCTGCTGCTGCTGCTGCTGCTGCTGCTGCTGCTGTTGTTGTTGTTGTTGTTGTTGTTGTTGTTGTTGTTGTTGTTGTTGTTGTTGTTGTTGTTGTTGTTGTTGTTGTATAGTATAGTGTATACATGTGGTGGAAATCAAAACAGGCGTATGCCTAATAACCATGGACCCACTGTACTTCAAGTAGACATTATAATTATTATGTCGTCAAGAGTACAAACTCTCCCTCTTTGTGTCATTCCGAGAGAGAATCACTAACTGGTTGATTGATTGCTGAGTGCATCGCACTGACCACTAGCCCTTTCCCAAAGGTGCTCTTTTAATTGGATTGGATTGGATTTTGGATTGGATTTTTATTTATAGTGGTGACTATAACAGACAATTGCCTAATAACAATAGACCCACTCGAGGGAAAGATGCAAACATATATGAATAATTAATATAATAGACTACCGGTATTGGATAGGTGATCATGTTCGCATTTTGCATAGCTGAAAGTCATTAGTACTAGCGTGAAAAAGCAAGGCATTGGGGTAACAGTTTCTTAAAACTGGCGGAGTTATCCACACAGTGAGCTAGAGGGTGCAAATCATTCCACAGCTTAGCACATTGGAAGGAAGCGCCATGACGGGCAAAGGCAGTTCTGAGCATGGGCAACTTAAGAGTGCGTGATACAAGGCTGCGCGTTGCAAGACCATTATTTAAACGCTCGAACATTTGACTTAATGTGACACTACAGCGGCCTTCCAAACAGCGCCACGTCAGATACAGTAATTTCGTGCAATACATGGTTGCCTAACGATCTAGACCAAGTCTCGCAAATAAAGGGCTTGATGGGCTACAAAAACCAGTATCGTACACTGAACGCAAAGCGCATTCTTCTGCGTACTGCAAACATACAATAGAATATCGTCAGCAAATTGAATAACTTTCACACAAAACTCGGAGACAATAGACTGGATCGAACGAACATAGAGTACAAAAAGGGCGATATTCACAAAAAACGCAATAAAGGGCGAAAGAAACGGGCTTTTCCAAAAAGGGCCAAAAAGCGCGAAAAAAAGGGCGAGCACCTTTGGGAAAGGGCTACTGACCACGTGTACTGAAGACTCCCCCCCCCCCCCCAAACTGTCACTACTGTGAAACTGGTACTGGTAGATAGGCATTGGCAGATAATGCTCGAAAAGGTGGCAGATTCTGCTTGAAAAGCAGTGAAATCGGCAGAACCATACAAACCTTATGGCGGGCAATTCCTCGAATTCTGCTCCATTTTCTTTATCCACATACCAAACATGCATGAACCTTACCAGAAAAAGTACCGAATTCTGCCAATTTTTTCTGCCGGAATTATCCGCATATGCCTAGTCTGCGACGGACGCTCTAGGGACCTACAAATGGGTTCCCCTTGCACAGGTGGCCACCTTATTCAGGGTGATTTGACTGGACTCACTGTGTAACATAACACCCCGTGGTCCTGCTTGTAGGGTACCTAAGCCGGGTCCTGTAGGGGACCTAAGCCGGGTCCTGTAGGGGACCTAAGCCGGGTCCTGTAGGGTACCTAAGCCGGGTCCTGTAGGGGACCTAAGCCGGGTCCTGTAGGGGACCTAAGCCGGGTCCTGCAGGGCGGGTGGTCGCCTTGACAGGTTTTACTGTATCTCTCCCTTTTTTCTCTCTTGGAATATTTTGCCTTTGGCCCTAGTTTCTGAGCTCGGTCCAACTCCATGAACTTTCTACATGTACTAGGTGTACTGTCATGCTGGTAGTCATTGCGCCAAGTATTCAACGGTTTGACTGCCCGTGGTGTGAATCCCGCACCATGCTGATTGTGACATTCTTTTTTTTCTTTCTTTCGACAAGTGCCCATGGTCTCCAATCCGGTTAGAATCGAGGAGCAAAAGGGTGGTAATATGAGACCTAGAATGCACTCGGCCCACCTGAGGTCTCGGCTTCATAGTGAGCTACATGTACATGTACATGTAGATGCCCCTACTCCTCTTTGTCTTGTTGTCCAGTGTCACTCACTTGTCCTCTTACCCCGATTATTAGTGGGCTGTGTTTGCTAGTAAAAAAAACAAAAAAAACAAAATGCACCAATGTGGCATGAAATGTATGGGGAAGGGGGAGAGGGAGAGGGAGGAGGAGGAAGGTCGTTGGGACATAGTCACGCATGAATGAGAAGAGAGAAACACAATGGCCCGAGTGCAACA